ATAGGAATAAATGTCACTGCTCCCATTGCAAAGTCTACAACGCTATATTGACCCTGCATATTCAAGGATATTTCCCTCTGGTAATGGCCACAGTTCTTGGCTTAGGTAAAATGGAAAAATGAAGCTTTATGATAAAATGCAGTTTGTGATAAGGTGGCTGGCTTAAGCAAAAGACTTGGGAAGTAGAGTGAAATTTTAATTAATTTATAATTTCTCTGGATAGAAATCATATCAAGCTAAAAATTCTTAAACTACTTGCTGAAATGTCAGTAGTGCATGCTCATTTGTGTGTTCCAAAGAACACATAACTTGCTGCAAGTAAGAGTGAATTAAAACGTTTAGTTATTCAATATGTATATCCTTTTAGAGGGCTGCTAGTTGATAATCTGAAAAGAAAACCTATGGTTACAAAGAGCAATATTAGAATTTAGAAAATAAGATCTATATTTTAAATATTCAAGTGTGTTGAGAATTGGTTGAATGTTCTCATTATTTGCTTTTTAGTTTATCCTGTTTTAGAGAGACTTATTTGATTAATGTTCTTCAGAATCCTGTAATTAGATGCCCTAGATACAACATTGTGTAGATGTCTCTTTTTCTACATGCACAGATGTACCTGTACTTTGTGTTTGCCTGCTTGTGGTTTAGAGAGGTAGGAAATCCCCCAGTGTGAAAACATTTCTCCAGATTAGATAATGCCTCTTTGACAGAGTTCCATCTGCATTCTAGATTAACTTTGCAGTATTTTCTTTCCTAATGAGATCTTTTTATTGTCAAAAATTCAATTCTTTCTTCCTTCCATAAAGGTAATTAGGCACTTTGTTGGAAAAATCGAGCTTTTTGAAGATTGTCTTCTTTACCCTCCTGTCTGCCATTCAACAAATCATTTTATATATATTTATCATATATGGAATGGTTAAATAGAGCTAATCAGTGTGTATAGTTATTTATGTATTTTTTTATGAGAAAACTAAAAATCTACACTTTGGGTAATTTTCAAGTATACAAAACATTAAGTAGAGTCACCACATTGTACAGTAAATCGCTTGGATTTATTCCTTCTAACTGAAATGTTGTATCCTTTGACCAACATCACCTTGCTACCATTCCTCTGCCCCAGCTCTAGTAATAGCAGCTATACTTTTTTTTTTTTTTTACTAATAAAGGAGTGTTAAGACAGCCCTCATTTTTCTTTCATTCTTACCCACATATGTCATGCTTTCTGCACAGTGAGGTCCCTCACAGCTCTGAAAGCAGATTTGGAAATATGTTGAATAGGTCCCCTCAAGTTACAGATGACAGTATCAACCTGGATGTGTCATTGGAGACTGATGTGTATGCTTGAGGGAATAAATGACTTGTGTTTGAAAGAAAGCACTCAGTGATGAAAGTGATGGGGGCCCCACTGCCACTGCTGCTTGAAGCCCTTTCATATTTCAGAGAGACTAAAGGCAAATACAGAACTAGAAAAAAGGAAAATATGGATTTAGAGACTTCTGTCACTGTATTTAGGAACAGGTTGACTAGTAAAGATTTTATTCTAGTAAATGCTAAAGATTTTTAACATGTAAGAAAGACTTCTGCTCAGAAAACTTTTTTTCTGAATCCCTTTGAAGAAAATAGATAAGTATTCTGATGATTGATTTTCAAAATATTAAAAAATAGTAAGGTTTTGATGGATTGACTTATTAGCAAATTAGTAACAGTAGTTTTTTGTTGGAGGCAGACTAAGGGAAACAGGGTGCACCTGGTTGGTGGATTTCTGGAGAGGCTAGATGAGATCAGAAGGGTTCAGCATGGTAGGATGTAAGATTTGGAGATTTAAAAATTATGGCCAGGGCCGGGGATTTAGCTCAGTGGTGCCGTCGCCTGCCTTGCAAGTGCGAGGTCCTAAGTTCGATCCCTGGTAACAAAAAATAATAATAATAAAATAAAATTATGGCCAGGGTTCACTATCTGCTTTTATTTCTCCATTTTTTTTTTCTGCCTCCTTCCACTCACCTTTTCTTTAAAGATTCATGAGTCTTTGATTTGGGTCAAGCTTTTACTTCTTTTTCCATATAGAAAATATCAATTAAGAAGCCTTATTATTGTTTCTCTTGCCTTTTAATTTTCTTTTTTCTTTCTTGATTTTCTTAGGTTACTCTTTTCATTATGATAATTCTATAAATACACCACTATTGTACTCCCTGTCCCTTCTGCCACATGCACGCAGTCAGACACCAGAGATTAATGCAATATTTAAATGGTGATAGAATATTTTCTGCAAAATGTTGATTTATTAAGTAAATGACACTTACGTTAGGCAGCTTAAATGTAAGGAATTATACATCAAACTTTAAATTAATTAGAAAGCAGTTTATGAACTATAGTCTTTGATATGTATGAGGTAATTTTTAAATTTTCTAATTTCATTTCATTTTAACTGAGTAGCTACTACATTGACAGTTGTTAACAATCAAATAATTATGAAAAGTTGTAACTGGAAAGTCTCATTTCCACTACTCCTCCTTCAGTCTTCAGCCCTATTCATGCCTCCTACAGGTGCTTACTGTTTTTTTGCAAATGTTCCTTGGTTTTCTTTATGCTAAAGTAAACAAGATAAGATATATAATTCTTATACAGAGGTTTTGTTGTAAATTTTAGTAAATACATACTGATCTGCACCCAGTCTTGTGCCATAAAAATGATGCTAAAATCATCTTTCTACTCTGTATATAGATCATCTCATCCATATTCAGATAATAGTTATTAGAAGAATTTCCTGAAAGTGGTATTCTGGGGTCAAAAGAAAATACATTTGTAATTTTGAGTGGTACTACTAACTTGCCCTTCAAAAGGGTTGTACTATTTTTCTTCTATCAACAATATATGAGAATACTTCTTTCCCTATATTTATGCCATCAGAGTATGTTTTCAAACTTTTGGAATTGGCCACTTGTGTGGGTGTAATTGTATGCGTTGCATTTTTCTTATGAATGAATTCCAGAATTTGTTTTCTAATGTTTAATGACTGCTGTATTTCTTTTACTGTAAATTATCTTTTCATGTTCTTTGATCACTTTTCTACTGGTTTTTAGGAATCATCTATGGTACAAATTGAGAATATATCATCTCAGCTATTCATCTTTTGTCTTTATTTTATTTTATTTTACTTTATTTTCCTCATCCTATTTTTTGAGAAAACTTAAAAGCAGCACTTCCTTTATATAGCACTGTGGAAATGTAAAAATCAACATGCAATCTAAAACCATGCAAAGCAGTCTTAATTAACAATCACAGTTGTTTCATGACGCTTCATAATTTTTGTTAAAACATTAAAAACTTTTTGTTGGTGGTGGTGGGTTGTTTTTATTTGTTTGTTTTTTTCAGAGAAGGTTTCACTATGTAGCTCAGGCAGGCCTCAAACTCATCATGATCCTGTCTCAACCTCCTGAGTACTGTGGAGGCATGTACCATCACACCCAACAACATTAAAAGCTCTTACTGCCATTAGTAAATGTATATGGCAGTGAAAAATAAGAAAATTAATATGTATTTAATATACTATAACATTAGAAGCATAATTAAAATGTTTTACTTCCTTTTAAATGTCTTACAAAGAGTAGTTTGAAGAATGCTTGCTGCCGTCACCTTATATACTTTAAGATACACCATAAGCATCTTTTCTATGCCAACTGCCCTATTTCTTCTACATTTGGATCAGCTGCCAGCATTTTATGCCTTGTTTTTTCATTATTGTAAACTATCTCCAGTATTTCCTTAAATATGAACTCTTTTGCTGCCATTATTTCCTCTGGCATCCCAACCCTCTTCATCTTTCTCCCTCTTTTTGTCACAGTTACTGTCCTTATTTGTGTTGAGAAGTTTGCCTTTTCTGTAGCTATATATGTCTCTCAAATGGCAAATGTGTCAAGATTCCCACAATCACCATTTCTTCCATAACTCTGTATTCAGACCAGACTTCACATAGTGTCATCACTTTTCTTGCTGCACTTTTATCTTTGTTGGCTAATTCTCTCTCTGTAGGTCTTAATAAAAATGTTATGTGGGCTTATCACTGGGAGACAAGGAAATAACACAGTTGTGTACATTATTGCATGTACATGAACTAAATAACTGATGTATAGTGAACAGTTACCAATAGACTTGGAAAAAGTCATATGATTGGTCACTGATCTTGATGCACGTAAGTTATCCACATAGAGGATTCTGAAGATTTATTACTATCATTGGTACTTTATGCATTTACTTGAATTTAATAAACTGTGCTAACTCAATTATGATACTATGGAATTTAAACCATGTTGTGAAAAGGGATGGAGACTGATTTATGTCATTAAACTGTAATAAGTTCAACTTGTACAGAGAAAGAAGGAGCTGCCTCTATAGAAAAGTACAAAGAGTGATATAAAAATTTACATAGTTGTCTCTGAGATTTGACGGTTATTAACATTCTGTTATGTATACTTTGTTTTAATAAAAGAAATAAAACACTACAAATGAAGTTGACATTTTCCTTTGTCTTTCACCTCCCATCTCATTCCCTTTCTTAATGTGAAAACACATGTACCATGAATTTAAGAGTATCTTCCTTTTTCTTTCTCTCTTGCTCTCTTGCTCTCAACATGTATATGTATACTATGAAGGTTTCAATGGCCAATATGTACTACTTATGGGTATACTCTTTAATTTGCACCACAATTTTTTATCATATACTTTTCCTTTGCCTCATATATAGTCTTACTTTCTTCTTGAATTAATACGAGTATTTTTGTTTCTCCTTTCTTGGCAGTTTAGAAGTCATGTTTTTCTGTTTAATAAGTGAAATAACTCATTTAAAAAAAATCTAAAGTCCTGTATATAGATGAGTAATGGAGTAATGGTCTGTTCTCGGCTTAGAAGAAACAAAGACCACAGATCCCCAGAGCTGTGCTGTCATAGTTATGTAACTATTTTCTGATGTGCTTAATAAACTTTTTGCTCTGTTTGTCTTCCAGGTTTATTCAGGAGATTGAACATGCCCTGGGACTTGGCCCAACCAAGCAGTGTCCTCTTCGAGAGTTTCTCACCGTGTACATCAAAAACATCTTCCTCAATCAGGTCTTGGCTGAGATCAACAAGGAGATTGAAGGAGTCACTAAAACGTCTGACCCCCTGAAGATCCTAGCTAACGCAGACACCATGAAGGTACTGGGAGTGCAGCGCCCTCTCCTGCAGGTGATAATACACTAGAACTATTTTTGTCAGCTGTTTTTATTGACTTGCCAAGAGTCGTAAATTAAAAAAAAAAAAAAAGAAGAATTACCATCTGTTTCCATATTCATCAGAGACAGAACAAGAGGAAATAAATTAAACATGCACTAGGGAAATTTCGGTCTAATATAGTTGGATAATGGAAGTTCCTTAAGCTCTTTAAGAAAACAGTGGTTAACTTTGAATGTGGGAGATGCTGAGTCTCATTAGCATGCAGACAGCTCTTCATTATTTGCGTGGAATTTGTCCTTGAAAGGCATTGGTTTTTTTCCATTGGTAAATGCATCCCAGAATATTAGGGATTAACAGGAAGGAAATTAGTTACTCTTCCTAGCATCAATTACCAGTAGGAAACCCTTTATCATTGAGGGTGGTAGGCTTACAGTAAATAACTTGACTAGCTCACAGTGAATTTGAACCTGGCTTTTCAAAGTTAGATCATTTAATTCAAATAATGATCTTATTAATATTGAAAGTCTTACTTTGACTACATAAGGAAATATTTTCTAGGTGATAGAAATAAACTAATCTGTTAGTAGATATTTTTATTAGTGGGGTTGAGATATATTTTGTACATATATTAACTTAAAGATAAATATGAAACTAAAAGAAAATTAGTGTTGAGTTCAAATTATGCATACATAACTATCATTACATTGTAATTTAATCATTATAGCTTCTCTTCATTTAAAGGAACATTGATATAAAAACACATTTTTACTTAAGTTGGACAATATAGAGCACAGAAAGCTTGATCTCTACAAAAAGAAGCTGCAAAAATGGAGATTATAATATGTTTCAGTTACCTGCCTGCATATGTATCTTCTTTAATTTTACCTTATGTATACTTTAGACTGAACGGTGGTGCTGGGCCTTTCTTAGAGAAGTATCCTAATTATGAGCATTCTTTTTATGAGCAAACTCTTCTTTTGTATTGAGAAAATTGAATAGAAACATCACACCTAGGAAGATGCTTTCTTGGATTGTTTGGGTCACTGTTAGATCTGTTCCTCCCAAGGGATCTACAAGGCTTGTCTACTGAGCCTTGGCTACAGACAAGGAGGAATGGCAAAGACATATGTTCACTCCTCCTTCTGCTGAGTTGCTCTTCCAGTGGTTCTTTGCAGGGCTGAGACATTCTCTATGAATTTTAGTTGCAGTGTCACCTCTACTAGGAGGTTTTTCCTGGCTTTTCTACTGAAGGACCACTCCTCCCCATGCATTTTTTTTTTTTTTATTTGGTACCAGGGATCAAACTTGGGACCTTGCGCTTGCGAGGCAGGCACCGGAACCACTGAGCTAAATCCCCGGCCCTCCCCATGCATTTTTAATACTGAAGCTAAACATTATGGACTCTATCACCAAGGCTCTCTTTCCAGGTGGCTTCTGATCAGGTTCTAAAAAATAGGAAGCACGAGCAAGAGATTGGAAAGTGAGAAGACAAAGTTGAGTAATGTCTTCTCCATTTCCCTTCCTAATTTGATCGTGATCCTAGCCATTGGTGCATCCCTCTATGATCAGAGGTCCTGCCAGATGGACATTCCCTCCGTAGCTCCAGCTCTTACTGGGTTGTGGCAACACCATTTCTTCTCTTTGCCCCTTGATTTCTGCTTTCTGCTATTACTAGTCTCTGGATGCCCTAACATCCCTTGTTACTTCTTTCAACCGTGACTGTACTTCTGTAAGTTCTGTACTTCCTTAATGTTTCTTCAGATGAATCATCTGAACAGAATATTCTTAGTGTCAGAATCCCAAAGAGATCTGTCCTTTGTTAATCACTATTTTAACACTTTGGGCTTTTTAAAATTTATTTTTAGTTTTTTATGTTATTAGTGATTGAATCAGGGTCTTACTCATGCTAAGCAAGCACTGTACCACTGAGCTATAGTCCTAGCTGTAACATTTCAGTTTTTTTCCCCTTCTTGACATTTGTGACTGTAGTAATTAATTTTGCTAACTTGTTTTTTTCTGTCTTTTCCCATTGGAAGAAAGCAATTTCCAAAAGCATAGTATAGTGTCAGGCAGCAGGAAGATGCCCAATAAATAATTTGTTGAATGAGTGTGAATGCCATGCACGTGTCAATAGATGCATGAAAAAGAAAAAGAAAAGCAACAGTGCACTACTGAATAAATGTGTAAACTAGAGAATCTGTCTTATTAAACATGGCCATTTTCAGCTTGAGTAGCAAAGACACATTAAAACTCTTAACTAGTTGACTACAGTCTGGGCCATGCCAGGCCATACATTTCCCAGCTAATTGTCACCTCTAGGCAGTCTCTTGATGTGTCTGACAGATCCCTCCCAACTTCTTTACCATGTAACTGTGCCTCTTGTCCTTTAAATCAATTATTCAGAGGTTAAGTAAACCTCCAGCTTTACCTGTTTCTTGACCTAAATAGTGAGGATGCACTCAATATTTAATCAGTGAATGAATGGAAACAAGTTAAGGAATGAATAGTGGCTTTCTTAGTACAAGAATGTGTGTGTATGTTTTCCTCCATGATATAAAATTCATAATCTTGAGTTTGATAGTAACAATAGCAGTCATAATAGTAGCTAGTAGTAATGATTCTGGCAGTGCTTAAATTAAAATGTCATAGTTCTTATGCCTTTGATGCTCCCAGAATGAAGATAAGATTGAATTTACTTCTTGGTCTTACCATCTGAGAATCCTCTGTTGCCATTGATTTTTCTGCAAAATGGCTTCCACCCATTGCAAAGCAAACCATGCTGATTCAAAGTAAACTAAGGAAATCTCTTAAAAGAAAGTCTTCTTTATTCCTGAATCGTGGGGTTTCTGGTTCCATTCTGGACATGATATTTGGGAAATAGTTATTTAAGGTAGATCTAATACGCCTTCCAGAATCTACAAATTGTTCATTTCTTAGACACAAGGAAAGAGATTGAATTTATTCACTTTAGTTTCCTAATTTATCATTGATTTGGAGATATATTTCCTTTTTTGTGTCTCATGTTAAAAGAGAGAGTGAGAAAGGACTAATACTTAATGTTTTTATCCTTTACCTAGAAAACCACTGATGGACAACTGTCTGTGAACAATGACCCAAGTAAAGCTAGCTCTTCTACTCTCAAAGGCATATCCTGTACCCTAACTACTTAAGAAGTGACCTGTAGACAGGAGCTTCAGACATCTGAAGCAAAGTGTGCTTTTGGATAGTGTCACCAGCTGGTTTGTCTACCCAGTGGTGTTTGAGAAGCATTGTTTTAGATCAGTGCAGCACAAAACCTGGCCCAAGCGCTTGTAGCATCAGCCTCACCTGGACTAGAGCCTTTGAGAAATGCAGATTGCTTAGACACCCCTCTTTGGGAATCTTTGATCTAACCAAACCTCCAGGTGATTTGATACACTCTGGGGTTTGAGAAGCATGCCCTTAACACAATATCACCATTCCCAGCCTGGGGTTAAGAACTAAGGTCCAATACTGTGAGCTTTAGCTTTGTGGTGTAGGCTTTACTGTTGTAGGCACTTAAAAGAAAGAAAGTATCCCACTATGTTTCATGCGGGACCAGACCCTGTAAAAACAATATTTGATGTGGCAACAGAAGCTACTTCCTAGTCTAGCACATTGCTGAATTTTGCAAAGCCTTTTCCAAGGCAGGAGAAGCCCACATTTCTTGGCTCATGCAGGGCAACGTGAGACAGAGGCAGCTTTCCTAATGCTCAGGCTCAACTTCCCACATCACTGGAGGAACAAGTATAAGCTGTGCAAGTAAAAAATTTAAGCAATCTTGAAACATTTAAACATTTACAGCATAGTTTCATTTTCTTCACTGCCCTAGTATTTGTCAGAGTCACTTCTGAGAAGTGAAATAGCTAACAGTCTGCCTGCAAACACCACACTGTCACCACCTCCTCAGCCAGCTCCACTTCCCACTCACACTTGCGGACTTAGAGCAGTGTTCTCAGCAACTAGAATTTTCAAGGGGCTTCCTAAAAACACCACTGCCCATATGCCATCAGTTGGGTAGGAATGGGGCCTGCCTGGGCATCGATTTCATAAGATGCCCAGATGATCCCAACATGCAGCCAAAATTACTGTCAGTGGCCTTAAACTTTATACTCCATAGACTCAGTTAATGCCCTAAGAGGGAGAGCATAAAAAGCTATAGTTGAGACATTCTTTAATTAAATCCAGTTATAACAGAGTTCTCTGCTTAATACTTTGAACGAAGCTTTGTACATAAGCCCCAGAATCAGACACAAATGGACTTAAATTTCAGCCAGCTCATTTGATATCTTTGTGTCCCTGACTAAATTGCTAACCTTCTCTATATCTATTTCTTTCTCTATGAAATGGGAATATTAAAATCTGTCTTATAAGAATAGCTACTGGTTTAAATGGAATAATGATTGTAAAACATACCCTCTCCCACCAACCCTGTGTGACATGGGCATGAATCTCAGCAGTGACTGCTTTGATTCATGAGCTGCCAGCTCATTAACTCCAACTTTTATAGCTTTCTGACCTTTTACCTTTTCTGATGGCTCCTCAATCCATGCCATGTGTGTCTAAATTTTCATCCTGCATCTTCACCATTAGCTTGCTGCTTACCTACTTCTTTCTCTTTGTACTGTAACACCCACCTAGTGAATGCTCTTTGCCCCCTTACTATGGGGGCACAACAGTAAGAGATGATATTATCTCACTTCCTTTCTCCGTTTCCTTTTTCTGGGGTTTGCTACTGATCATTTGTTAGCAGCAGTGGCACACAGTGTTTATGATCATTAAAGCTATAGATTAGTTTCCTAAGGATGCCATAATAAGTCACCACAAACTTGTTGGCTGAAAAACACAGAAATTTATTCTGTCACAGTTCTGGATGCCAGAAACCACAGTCCCTCCAAAGCCTCTAAGGGAGGCTCTTCCAACTTCTGGTGGCTCTCGTGTAACTTCAGACTCTGCCTGTGTCTTAACATGGTCTTCTCCCTCTGTGTATCCAT